TGTTTGGTTTTGGGTTTTTTTTTAATAATGTTATGTATTCAGTACTGAGGTAGAAATGTACGACTTAACTGATGCTACAGATTTGCTTCAGAATAATAACTGATGCTACAGATTTGCTTCAGAAGAATTTCTATTATGTATTCTACTTAACTGAAAAACTTTTACAAAGACCATTTATTCCATGCAGACGTTAGCTCTACCCGCTGTAGACCTGGTTGCATTTTTTGCTTAACAATGGAAGCAAGCTGAACGCTCTGACTCGCACAGAATACACTCAGCATAAAGTCTCGTCCCAATTAAGTTAAAATCATCCAAGAGCGCTGCAGTTGCTAACAGTGATTTAGCACTGCTGTCATAAAATGTACATTCAATTACACCATTTAAAAAACTTTTCCATGGTAGAGAAGCTGTGTAAAAATCCTCTTGAAAAGGATTGCTACTGCTGTGGCTGCTAGGCACCAGCCCTTTTAAAAACAAGACAAGTATGGTGGAACAAACCTACAGTCCTATATATTCCAATTCTGTAATTTTAGGATGATTTTCTTATGCTGTCCCATACAAAGTTCAGGATAATCTCCCAGACATCTGACCAACTCTTTAATATTCCCACAAAGAAGTAAGGTGGGGTTTTTTTTCCTCCCCCCCTGTAACATCATAGTAAAAATTTATACCTTTTTCATTTGAGTAACTGCTCACACACCCCAGAGAAGGGAAACCCAACCTGACCCCCACTCACTTTTCTGTGGGCCTGTACATCTTGTCACACACGGGAGAGGAAGACTCTGAATGCTTCCCTCAAAGGGCGCAACACGGACAGCAATTTCTACACAGATGCCTGACAAAACCAACGGGTATTTTGGAACGGTAGGAAGTATTAAACATTAGTTGCTAGGTCTCTGCAGAGATTTTCATTGGCAGCAAGTACGGACCTGTATTAAAAAAGGCATAGAGCAACAGTAAACGTACTTACATTGAAGCACACTTCCATGTTATTGAGGTCAGCATCGTATTTTATTTTTAATGCTTATTTTTTTAAATCAAATACAGTTATGCTCTTCCCAACATGGCAGCAAACCTGCCCCTTACGTTCTAACAACCTCTCAATTTCCTCTTCCACATTCCTCCAAAGCTCCCTAGCACCGTACTCATTAACAGTGCCTAATACCACCACATCGTGCAAATACAAAAAGCATTTTCAACTTTTTTATGTAAGTGGAACAACTCCAAGAAATCACCCATTTTCTTATTACTGGTGATACAAATATTAGCCCTGCTTCTGAAACATTACTGCCGCCTTCTCACTGGCTCAGAGGTGCCCCCAACACAGCAACAAGACTGTACAGCCGTTGTCCCAAAAACCCCTCCTCTCTTCCCCAGGCCTCTTTTCACCCTAGAAAGGACTGTAAGCAGTGAAGTAACAACACAGATGATGAAACTCTTGCTTCAGGTGGCGTTTGCAACCTCAGCACTGTTCACATAAAATTAAAAGAATTCACAAGCATGTGGGCAGTTGTTTGAGGTGTACCATCTGGAGGCATTTGTCACCATCTTACTGTCCCAAACACTGGGCATGACTATAAAAGCAAGAGCATCTCAACTCCTCAATAGATAAAGTGATATCCAAAACTACCCATTTAAGCACATACTATGCTTTTGAATCACAGTTACAACTGCAGGCCTTCCTTACGCCTTTTATCCTTTCACAGACAAACTCTATGGCCAGAAATGCAGTCAGCCAAGAGGAGAATTGCTTCAGGTCTGTCCAGAGCCGTTCTAGCACCGAGTCCACTTAGCACTACCGCAGCTTCTGGTGGGATTCTGATTTCTGTCTTAGCCATCCTAATTATTAGAGCCTCTGCAACAAATTTCAAATGGGAATATATTAATCATATCAATATTTTGTAGAGTAACAGTGTAATCCAGATGTTCCTTCCAGAGGAATACAGGAATACTTTATGCACTGTGATAGCTTTTGTGCACTTTTTATATGCCGTAAGAAAATGTTATCTTTCGATGTAGTGCAGTACAGGTAGGGAAACGGTGACCCATAAAGACTCGTGTAACATGATTTTTCTGCCTTTATTCTTACTGGACAATTCTATGGTGTGCAGTGTATCATGGTCTCTCAGCAGATGTGCTTGAAAGGCCTCTTCAGCCTTCAGCAAAGTTTCCCCCATTCATCCCTTATTTCTCATATACATGACAGTTCTCTCAAAACTTAATTGCGGACTAGCTGCTGCTTAGTGTGCAGGCTGAGGCTATTTCTGTAGGCCTGCCCAACTCAGGAAGGCTACTTTCCCCTCTAAAATGGCCAAATGATACTAGCTTAGGACTCTCTCATTTATTGAAGTACTGCGCTTGACCAGTCTTTAGTAAGTGGGCACAAAAAGGAGTTCTTAAGGCAACAGAATACATCACATTTTATCAACAAGACCAAAATAAACTTTGAACTCCTGGGAGAAAATCCTAACAGTCTTTTGGTATCTAAACATTCCCATTCTTCCCACTAAAAATATTTTTAGATGTCAAAATGTAGACAGTGCTGGTGAAAAAACAGCAACATTTGTTGACATTCTTAACATAGTGTCATATTTTATCTCATAACAACAAAAAATCATCAGAAATGTTTTCTTAAATATGTGTTTGCTACAGTAGCTGTCAGATACACACACTGGAAAAAAAGGTTCTTTATATTAAATTTTGGTATTTGAAATAGACCTGACTTCTGTCATTCACACAATTTTCTGTTTTGAACATCTGTGAGCCTGTTGCTGCAACTTTATAAAAAGGGAAGGATGTTTAGTCAAGCGGAGCTCTGCAAAACCAAGCAGATCAGTTTCCAGCCTTCGTATTTTGGAAAGTGAGTTATCAACATGAACAAATTTAGTTACTGTATTACAGCAACAGGAATATATACCGATGATTAAGCAATGTATAAAACTCTGGTCTCTTTAATTAGAGTGGAGTCTCAGTGCTAACTTGACTGGGAACAAGATCTCATGGCAGTCCCGACAGCATTCGGCAAAGTCAAGTAGCTTGCCAGTATGTCCAAACCTGTGACTTTAGCTGAGTAGAAGAAATCAGGAGTATAACAGCTTGTGTATTTCTGTTCTACTCTCTCAGAATCTTCTTTGTATTATGACTTTAATTTTGTCAACACCTAGTAACAAAAAAATGTAATTTTAGATGCAAGGAAAGTGGATTCTAGGTTCAGATTCTCTTAGGACAATGACAACTCAGGACCGATACATATAAAAAAAATGCACATGTAGCTATCTTCAAAGATGAGTTGTTAGAACTAAACTAGTGAATTAGTCCAACCTTATAAAAACTGGAATATATGTCGAGTGATAAAGCAGGAGGTCACTTTTAAGTGAAATTAGCATCTAAAGAAGTCAGTAGAGACGCATGCCTCTGACACAAAAGCAAACAAGATAGTATCACACGATCACGTCTAGACATCCCTTTTGCAACTGCTACAAAAAGATCTGTTTGCAAGGCCCAAATCGATGGCTTCACTAAGAGCATTAAAACACTCAAAACTGCCTCAGAGTTGAGAACCCTGAACCTTTCAAAGTTATTCTTGAATTTCAGTATTTACTGTGCTAAGCAGCTGACTTGAATTTTTACAGTATTCAATTCAGATTGTAGGAGGCATTTAAATGTAGATGATTTTACAAGAGTGAAATATATTCCAATCAGAACATTTTGATTCACTTACAACCATTATTCGTATAAAATAATTTTTGATGCAGAACAGAATTTTTTTAGGGTCATTTGCTCATGGAGAAAAACTGTCCCCCTTACATTTCCACTCCAGCCAGATTCACACTTGGTCATCCCAATACTTCTGAGACTTGTGGCTGGAAGAATGAAGGCTGTGCAGGCCAATGACAACTGTACTCATGTGAACGGTATCCAAGAGCCAATTTCTGACACAACTGTCTAATATTTTAAATAACAACTAATAACAAAAAACTGTAAGTTAAAATAGCTAGAATCCTACAAACACACTCCCATCTTTGATAAGAATCAGAGATACAATGAACCTTTAGAGCATAATTTTTTAATGTAGTTTCTTGTGGAGTCTGAGAGGTAAATCGCTCAGCAGTGTATCTGTATTTCAAGAAAAACGTTAGACCTTATCAAGCTATATTACAGTCTTCATTTCAATTACAGAGCACAATTTCATATACTGATGTAAAATGTTTCTGTATTATAGAAATCTGATTCCTGCTCCAAACTGAACACCATCACATATCCTGAAAAGAAACAAATAATAAACATTGTAAGTGATACAGAAGGTACTGATGAAATTAAAATCAACTCTCCCTACCCCCAAATTCCCAAGGATTTCAATCTTTGGAAAGTCACAGTTCAAATTTTTGCTGACAAAGGCTTTTTTAAATAAATGCTTTGCCAATCTCTCATCCATATGGAGTATTTACATTTGCAAAATAAAGCCCATAATTTTCAAATGGCTATTATTAACTCATATTTCACATGAATGAGAAGTAGGAATATAATCCAACTCCTGTACGAAATACAGAGTATCTCACACAGTATTCACAGGCAAGAACAGGCCCCCTGAAGCTTTTCTATTCAGTACTATAATATTTGCTTGGTGTAGGATAATTGGTTGCTAACAAATTAATTTGTTCTCCCTTTATCTATAATTAAACTTGTTTTAATTTTTCAAAGACATTAAACTCAGTATTTATCCAACCACTTTTTTTAGGAAAGCTTAAGAAAATCCCATGAGCTGTTTGTGTGATTGTTTCCCCTAAAGAAATAAAACCTGCTATACAGCTGCTGATAACATTTCAACGGCTAATCTCAAGTTCAATGAACTTTGAACTTGAGATACCAAGTCTTAAACCAAGAAGTACTGGGAAACCAACATGAGTACAGCGAACTAAAAGAAGAGCATCAAGTGCTGAAAAAATCTCTAAACTGGCATAGAATAAACAAAATTTAAAGGAAGCAATTCTCTCTGCCAAAACCAGATAGAAGCGCAGTAACCTTTAAAACCAGTTACTATTAAAGAAATTGGTGTAAAAAACCAAACCTGTCACCAGACTGTACTCCCATGGGGAAACAGTAGTTAAGTTCTAATCTAGCAATGTTTCCAAGTCGCAGCACTATTCCGGCACCATAAGACCATCGGATATACTCTGCCAACTTCTGTAGGTGAGCTCTGGGACCATCACCTAAAAGCAAAAGAGCAGGAGAACAAGAATCAAAGTTGACTGTCAAGGTCGTCAAAGGCTAACTGGATTTTTAGAGCTAGAAGACAGACTACTTTGGAGCATCCCCTGCAGATTCAAAATTTCTTCACTACCCACAACTGCCATAAATGCCAACCAAATACCTTGGACTCGAACTACAAACTTCTACAGTTCTAGGTGGATTGCTGGTTGATCTTCATTTCCCTCCACAGGGTACCTACTTGCATGAATCTGGAAATGAGTACTGAAGACTTTTGTCTTTAGTGGGTCTCTATTCATTTTGAAGTTGATTCGTCTGCTTTTCAATTGTGCATGAAGTGTCACCATCCCATATGGATGCCACCTCTCTTCCATCAAGCAAGGCAGACATCAAATATCCCTATATCCTCAAATTGATTGAACTGATACTGAAAAATCATACACTAATACACTGAAATATATTTTGAAAAAAGTTGGGAATGGAAGGGAAAGAAAAAAAAAAAATCACATCAGCTACCACACTCTCATCTACACTGTAATGCCACCACTTTTGTATTTAGTTCATCCCAGAAAACATTAGAATCCCACTAAAACATCGACTTCCAATCTCCCTTTAGAACTGTGTAAGACAGCAGGTGTTATCAATTACCATACTGGTCTGCAAACATCACCAATTCACAGATACTACTGTTACCGTCTTAGCTCTCTTTCCTACAAGTTGTGCTTGAATTTATGTAGAAAGCTAAAAAAATTACTGGCAATCTGTCAAATATACAAGTTAGTAGCAGCAGCTTTTTGACAGGCACCAGAATATATGCAGTAAACAAACTGCTTCTGACTAAATAGACACAGAACAGCTCTCCTGTTCTTTTTGGTTTTATATATACAGACAGAAGCAAGTTTTGTTATATAGAATTCTATTGAGTCTTACCATAATTAAGATTGCAGAGATTTCCAGCATTAAGGAAGAAATGTGTTCGGAAAAGGTCTCCAAACCCTCCCCGGCCTGGCCGGAAAGGAAGAGGGGTGTACAGATGTAAGCCTCCAGCCCAGTAGGCTTCTCCTCCCAAGTAATCACCTATTTAGGTAAAATGTTGGAATAAAGGCACTTACTGTGGAATATATTAAAAGAACCAGTTGTTAAAGGTACAAGAACACATCCTTAAATTGTTTTACATTGCACTTCTACCCTTTACAATTCTTGCCACTTGCTTCTAGCTCCCTCCAACCTCACCACCATCAAGTGAAAAAATCAGCGCTTACACAATTCTTTAAACCTTCTAAGTGAACTACCATTTTTCTTCATTCCCTCAGCAGAACAGCCCGAGGCATGCATCTACTTGTGGTTCATCAGAGACTACCTCCTGAACACCTCAAATACTTGCCTTAGTTTTAAAAATGGGAAATTGATACAATTAAACAATTAGCTTTAAAATATACTGAATCCACTGATAACAGCAAGTCAGCAGCAGAGTAAGGATAGAACTGAGGAAGCTCCTGGCTCTTGAAACACCTTTGTTGATCAGATTACCTTTCCCCTAAGCTACCTGAACATATGCTGTATCAAATAGAGATTTAACGTGACTGTTGCTATAACTCAACTTTTGGGAATTTTTTCAGCTTGAAGGTTGCTTACTAATTAATGTGACACACTGGAAGTATGCAAGTCTGAACACACACTTGGTTTACAAAATTAGCTTATGGCCTAACTAAGAACTACCAGGCTTTATTCCATTGTGAACTAATATATAACAACAGATCAAAGACATAACGCTTCTCAGATTCAAAGTGCAGAATGAGTGCAATTATTTTTAAGATATACAAAGCTTAAGGACAGAATCTGATTCTTTGTTACATACTAATATTTATTACACACTAGTATTGTCAGAGGAGTGGGATTTCAAAGTTTCAGACCTTCACTCTGGGGTCCAATGCTGTACATACTGAATCCACGCACACTTGTTGGTCCACCAAGGTAAAACCTAGTGAATACAGTCAAATTTAATTTAATGCTTCACTTGAAGGACATATTTGAAAATATCTAGCCATATTTCTAACATTGCCTTCCACAGTTACAGGTAACTTTGTAACAGGTTTAGTGAAGTGTATTTAAAGAAATACAAGAAATTACATGTATATCTAAATCCTGATGCATTTGGCAAAAAATTCAAAATAAATGGAAGTATTAAAAATAAAAATCAGTCTTTCATCACTTACAAAGATCAAAACCGAAGGTTCCCCAGCACTGAAGAAGAATCAGAATGTCTGACTATGTCTGTTGCAATAATTTTGATAGAAATACTGTAGTTAAGATTTATCACACGTGAAGCTGACACTTAGTATTTACTGTAAATTAATTTAAGTCTAAATAGTTTCTGCTAGTGATCTTGAAACACAGGTGTTAGGGGGCAAAATTGCGTAAAAAGCCAGCATAGTTACAATATGGCTTTAAATCTAAAAATACCTACAGTGTTACCTATGCCCGATACAAAATTTTAGAGATGGTAAATACCATTTTGCAACCATAAATATTGGCAGGCAGAGCTACTACACAGCAAATTATAAATTTATACTACCCCAATATGAAAATCAAAAACAGAAGGCATGGCTTGAGTACTAACATACAATTAAAGCTAACTAGAAACTTATTTTATTCTCCTCAGAACCAGAACTACTACTGCTTCTCTCTCCTACTACAGAGTTTTCTTTATACATTACCTGGGTTGACTGAAAATATTAAGAAACATTTAAAAAAACTTGCCTATCAGCTATACTGGATGGCTTGTCTCCAATAGGTACTAGCATTCCACCCCAAAGTGATGCTGAAAAAACCTTTGGAGAGAAAAAGAAGTTGTTTATCAATACGTATTACTTAATTTCCCTAAAAACAGTATTAGGAAAATTTCATCGCTCAGTAACAGGCAGAGCTCCCATTAGTCTGACAGAAAGTTACATATGATCACAGTGTATGCATGGGTATCACACCATCAGTAACTGTATTTTCAGGAAACTCTTGATCATTGCTGCCCTCTTTCTTTTATGCAGTGCTACAACTTGAAAAAGTCAATACAGCACATTTGAACCAAGTGCTACTTTCACAATAGCTAAAGGAAACACTCATCCAGCTCCTATTTTCTTAGGACTTTTCACATCTTGAAATAAGACAACACTGCTGACATAAATTACTCCTGGCAATTTTAAACCCATAGGACGCTAAGTCCACCAAATAGCTACCAAAACATGTACAATTACTACCTGTCTGTAACTTAGGCTTATAATTAAATGAAACCATCTTCTGCAACTCACTATATTGACATCAAATACACATACATCATTACTGCTTATCTATACAGGAATTCTTTGGAGCCAAACCTATAATAAATACATTTAATCATTTGCCTGCTGCCTGTGTACCAAGTAGAAATACTACTGCCAGATGGTGAGATCTACTGTCAATACCTAGGCTAAAGGTGTTGAATAATTTCTCTAATTTTACAGCACACTCCTGCTGCCTTCTGCCCTGAGAGTCCCCAGAAGCCTCCTGCCATTATCAGATGTCAACTCATCAGGCTGTATTTGCATATCTGGTTACACAACACATGGTGTATGCAAAAGCCGGCTGCACACAAGTCTACACTCATGAGCAAAGGATGACATAATTTTATGTACACCACATGATGAGATATGCTTCACTTTCACAACGCAGGCATATTAGCAGTAATGGGAAACAGCAAAGTCCTCTTTGCATAGCCATGAAGCCATTAAATTACTTCATAGGAAAATATGCTGTCTTTCTCAACTGAAGGACAGCAAATAAATGTCAGATGACTAGAAGTCCGCTCATCAGGCAATGCCTTTTCTTCCACCACATGGAAGATGCAAAAATAATGATGCAGTAAGAAGGGGGTATAGCAAATAGCCTTAAAATGCCCTTCTGCGTTGGCTCATTGGTCTAACTCAAGAACTTCATTGCACTGAGTTGCCTCAGAACAAAAGCATGAAACAGCGGACCAACAGATCCTTACAGCATCAGCTCATTAGTATCTGCACTACGAAAGTAGCTTGGAGTTTTTCAGTTGTACTGTTGGCATAATGCTAACGTTCTTCCAGTCTCCTAGAATTTCTTCATCATTCAAATACTTCTTAAAAGGCTTTCAAGACACAGAGATCTCAATGCTTTTTTTGTTTTGTTTTGGGTTTGGTTTTTTAGTATGTTGGGATGCAAATTATTGTAACCTCTTTATTTTTAAATCTTCATAATGGAAGTTGCTGTTTAATTCCCCATTCAGCTATAAGGCAGGAACTTACTGCACTATCTCCATGTGATAAAGAACTTCTTTCTAAATACAGACAGAAATATTTCTAGTATATAGTTAAATTCTTATTCCACTAAGCAGAAAAACACCTATTTCGACCTAATACTAGCTCTATGCTGTTAAAGCTGCCTGAAATTTAAGACCTCATTCTTATGTTCTCATAAGAAGCTGGAGGACACTAAAAATGAACTTGGAGTGGAGTTATCCAGTGTCATTTCCTCTGAAGGAAATCTAGTCGGTATACACAGGAACTGCTCTGCCAACCAAACCAAGACTCCTAAGTGACGATGATACAGGAATTTGCTTCAAAACCACACAGTGACTCCAAACCAAAGTACTAATGTAGACACTGCATCATAAAATCTGTGATGGGCTCTGTGGGTAGGGTGGCAGACTGGAATCTCATGTAAACTTCTCACGCTACCATGTGTCTTTCTTATTGGAACTTGGAACTTAAATCATTCATTGTGCACAAATATGAAGTTCAAAATGTTGTAGTGCAAGCTTAGTGTTGTAGTGAAATGAGCCTTCCAATTCTTGCCCAATAATTGTACATAGAAGAAATAATTACATGCTATGATACCAAAATTAGTAGTCATCTATTAATAATTTACCATGACAAAAGAAAACTAAACCAAGATTAGTCAGAATATTCATAACCACATGAAAGAGAGAGAACAAGGCTGTAATAAGTTTCTGGAAAATCACTCTTAAGAAAGATCACAAAGAACAGACATGCTCAACATTACTTCTGAAAGGAAAATAGTTCATATGGTTAACTATCAAACAAGTTCTTTCCAAAATACCCACTTTTCAAGTGACTGTGCACTGCAGGAACATCAGGTTAAAAATAAAGAGTATTTCACTTTCAAAAAAACAAATCAAGACATCTACACCATCCATCTTTCACTTCCATGATCTTTTTCTAATCCATGGTGAAAAATCATCGTAAGACATAGATTCAATAACCTCACTTGTTAATGCAGATCAATTACTAAATTATCTTTAAAAAAATTTACCGAATCCCAGATAAGTTGCTTATTCAACTGAAATTCAAAATCCTCTTTTAGAAAGCTCACGTCTCCACCTGTATAGCCAGCCAATTCCTGCAAAGACATAAGTTTATGAAAGTTTTAATGGATTTTACATGTTTCTTCCCCTTAAAAGTTCATTGTGTCTGCATCAGCATAAGCAGTATTTTCTGTACAAGAAATATAGATACACTGGTATGGAGAGACAACTGAATTTTGGACCAATGAAAAACCATGCATGACCCTCAGAACAGTAAGCTGCAATTTTCTCCTCTGAATATTAAACCAAGGTATTGCTTTCTAAGCCATTTTGTAAATGATGGCAAAATAGAATGGAGCTGGAAAATTCAGCACCCGAAATCAAAACTCTTATTGTATTTACCTAGACCTGAGAAGATTTCATATGTACTAAAGCATGGCTGAAGAACCAGCCAGCCAGTTGTATTACACCAGGGCTAGTTGAAAAGTGACTGAATCAACGTTAAAGGCAGCATCTAACAAATTATATGTTAACTAAACCCTGAATTACAACCAACTTTCTCACTCAGAAACAGAATAGTTCACTGCTGCTCACAGGAACACTAACACTTCTAGTTCCAATGACATTTCAAAGCAATCTGCTTCTAAAGCATTGCAGAAGTTCATGTTTCTAAAGTATTAACCCATACAGCAGAAAATCCAGTTTTCTAAAAGCTCTGAAAGTAACAAGAGTGGAAACCATTTTCTGTGCCAAAATGATACATGTGTATGCCTTTGAGACTTATTTTTTACCCAGTCTTTCATCTTTAATTCTAAGACTTACAAACTTTGTATGTAGCAACAGGACCACAGTCTGGCAGTCCTACATTACAGTGTTAGAAAACAAGGACTAATACCTACTGTAAAGTATAGAGTAAATACTGTCAGGGATAATGTATCTTGGCTAATACATAATTTAATGCTAATGGCAAGATAAAATGGCTGTGCTGTTTGACCAATGGTATACAAATGAAAATTTGCCACCATAAAAAAGGTTTCATGATTTGAAAAGGCACACACTGTAAAGATAAAAAGTAAATACTCACCATCACTGCCTCCTAGTCAATTTATGATTGATTTCTGACTTTAGACATTTTTAACATGAACATCAATTAGCTAAATTAAGACTTACTCAAACATACTTACAGATAAAGTCCAGTAATAGTATAAGTGATTTAATACCTGATTAATTTTTAGCAAAGCACCTCGTCTTGGCAAGATTGAAGAGTTCCGGGAATCAATAACCATAGCATGCTGAAAAGAATCAAACAATTATTTTTAGGTTCTCCTATCTGTTGAATACCACGGAGTGACACTACTATTTTCCTTCAAAAACTGTGCACACAGTGGAAGACAGACACAGTTCAGCTAAGGCTAGTGTAGCTCCATGCATTTGGGAACAACGTACCTACAGACTAACTTAGTTCTGACTTTAGAAGCCACATCAAAAATATATATATATATATATTCATACCTTTTGGCCATGGTACACATCAGAAATATAGCAGCAACAATGCCCTAGTGTAAATCACCAATTTTGTGACAGTAACCTGCAAATAGTTTATCTCCTACAATTTGTAAGCTACAAGTTAAAGATGACAAGCGACCAAAAACTGGTAGAGGAAAGAACATTTAGAAAGGGCATAGCAACTGCAGGATGACGAAATTTACTGATCCTGTCTTCTACAAAACAAGACAATTCTGCAAAAAGAGATGGCAGATGACACAGAGGGAGGCCCTGCAGAAAGAACAAGCCAGCCTAAGCAACAGTCAAAATGCAACAGTCAACTCTGAAAATACGTCTTCTATTTGGACCTCCTGGATGACTCTGTGTGAATGACCAAACACAGCAAAAGCTACTTGAAGTAAAACACACTACCTACTAAGACAAAAAGCTCCTTTGGTATCTTTTGTAAGTATTAATGACTCAAAATAATGTGTTTTAAAAAATTATAAGGAAAAAGACTTACAGAGAGAGAAGATTTAAGAGAGTGTCCACTTTCTTCTCGAACAGAAAAGGATGCTGTTCTAGCAAGGCAGCCAAGTTCTCTCCACACACCCTCCCACTTCAGCGTGTGATTGGTCTTCCAGATTGGAAACTAGAAATAAAGAATGGAGTAAGACATGAAAAAAATTTTGCTACAAAATTAAAATAAACATTTCCCTGAAAAATCTTTCTCTCTAAAGTTTATTTATACATGAGTCTATGCTTTTTCTTTTCAAACTTCCTGGATCAGAGAGAAACCCTTTTTCACTTCAGATTAATGCTAATTCTCCTCCAGCCAAGAGAGTTTCTCCAAGTAGGTGCACACTACTTAATCCATCCCAAATAAAAAATATCTTGAATTGGGTTGATACAGTGAGCTAGGCAACCAGCTGCCTCTCTGAAATGATACTTTAAACATTAAAAATTTGGAGAAAAACATATTGGTATTTTTATATGGCCAAAATAAGATTTAATTCTAACAAAAAGACTAAGGTGCCTACCTCTGTCATTTTAAAATCATTGACCTCTTTCAAATAATGACAAGTTAGCCCTGCGCACAAGTGCTTCAATCATTAAAAAAGTAAACCAAATATTTGCGAAAGCCAGCTGTGACCTAAATTATTTAATTTAAATTAATGAAGCATGTGTTCCACAAACGCTTGTGCTACACTTACATTAAATTCTGTTGATATTCCTCTATCAGTTTCACGCAGAGAGCTCCAAGGGAACTGTCCAGTTACTTTATACAGGTTAACTGAAAAACTGAAATACAACGTTACTGGTAGGTTTGAAAATGAAACTATTTAAGTAGGTGGAGTTTTAAATTATGACAAAAACTTAAGAAACCAGCTCTGCTACATTATTAACAGGCCCTCAGCAAAGGAATAAATTTAATTATTACTCAATGAAAGATCTTATTAATTGTTTTATATTCCTTCACTAAAAAAAAGAAGTACTCCAAAATGCATCCCCTACTTTCTTTCAAAGTTTCCAGGCTGTGGTTTGAAGAATGACAGGCCATATGAAGTTTCCTTTGTTCCATAGGAGAACTGGAAGGTTACCTTTTCTGCACGTCCAAAGAGATTTGGGAACTTGAGCCCAAGTACCTATGGAAAATAAAAAAAACCCACAACATTTCATATATTTTGCTGTCTTGCATCTTAATCATATACTGAAGACAAGTATATCTACCACAAGAATGAGAAATGAAGACATTAAAAATAGTTGTAATTGAATGCGCTTTTCTTTTAAGTCAGATTTTTCTCTGCACTGGCAGGAAAAGCCATCACAATAGCACAAGTTACCATTAATCATCCAATTTTTACTGCTGTCCAGTAGCTGCTGACTTAACCTGCATTCTCACTGTATCATCAGTACTGCTATTACTTCAAGCAAAATATCCCAGCTACTCTCAAAGCCCAGGAGAATAAGTCTTTGGCATAATAAGCAGCTGCTCTGCAACTGCAGCTTTCCATCAGGAAAACTACTTGTCAGGTAGGGTTCATCAGACCCACAGCAATAAGCCAATAGAAAATTATCAGTACAGAGTCACTCCGCTGTATTTCTGTTTTGAGTGATAAAATATTTTTGCACCGGTCCTGATGGTAGTACAACATACCATTACAATTCTACAGAAACTAGCTAAACACTTTTGCCTGTTCTGACACAAATTCCTTGTATCCTTTGGCAGAAAGGATGGAGCAGGTTTCCTCCAAGCACAGACGCTACCAGGACTGTTCTATTGTTGTGTGTTCTATTTTAAAAGAATGTGAAGAAGCTGCCAAATCCTGATGATGGCTACTATGCAATTATCTAACCAGAAAGCACTAATGCAAGGGACTATTTGTATGAAATACTAGATCTATGGGCTTCAGGTGAATTTAAGGGACTAGAATAAATGTCAAATCTATTTAACTCTTAAGGAGACATAATCTCTGCTGCCAATACCAGTGTATACAAGTCATGCTTTTGTATCGTTCAAATGTTTTACTTCTCTGTAACCAATTAAAATCAAATAGATGGGGAAGCTGAGTACAAAAAGAGAAACCACAGCAGCTTTCAGACTGTTTTCAAATTCACTAGAACCAACAGGTGTGATTCCCCACTGGTTTCATTCAGGCCATGGATACCCTGGACATCGCTCTCAGCAGCGGAGCTGCGTAAGCAGCTCTCAACTCTCTGAGTTCCTGTTGTCCCTGCACTTGCAAAACACCATCACCTGAGTCATGCCATATCTTATCCAGGTTAAAAATACCCCTAAGAAGAAAAGGATGAGTCCCTTGATCTGGCTTATCTACCAGCCACAGCCACAGCTGCACTACGTGCATGAGAAAGCAGAGCGGGTGCAGGAATGAGCACCTGAAAGAATAATCTATGTTACACCAGCACTTCTGTTTAAAGGACATTAACAGAACAACAGCACAGCTGTTACTTTTTCTGTCAATTGGTAAATATTTTTCACACAACATTTTAATCTGATGCATCCTTAATTGAATCAAACAGAAACAAGTTCCACAGTTTGTATGGTTCTGGAGAACCTGGCATTTTGCAGCCCAAAATAACTGGCACTGGGCTAAAATAGTGAAAACCAAGAACAATTTCTAAGTCAAACATAAAGCATTTCAGCTGAGAAGAAAAACACTTTAAATAGATTTCATAGAAACTAAATGCCAAACTCCTTACTAGTCTCGCCAGTAGATAAAGCATCTTAAATTTTATCAAGAAATAATTTAAGTCATTTTAAGAATTAAAAAATTAACATACTGAGTTGAAAGCTACAACATTCTTCCCTAGCTCAAAATAGGCTTTTGCTGAATGAAAGCCTGACTAATACAAAGACTCTTTAGAGACAAAGGTCTGGCAAAGCCTTAGTAAAGCTGGATAAAGCAAATAATTTGGCTTGGATCAAGTCCTTACTTATTTAATCACCAAATTCCTTGCTAGGTTTGAAACATGAAAGTAAGAAGAATGTCAAAAGGAATGAATAATTATTTGAAATAATTCATACCATACTGCCTTCATTGTTGCCAACCATAGTATTATAGCTTCCAGTTAGTCTTCTCAATTCTGTTACCTCAAAGATTACATCTAAACCATTTGGAAGGGCATCATCTCCTACATAAACAAACAAATGTATGTTATCTCTAAAGAGCTATTTAGAAAAATGCAGAAAGAAGATGACTTGAATTATTTGAAAACTGTTTGAATTAAATAATAAAAGTCTACATTACAAAGAAAAATGGCTTGAGAAAAAGATGTCCTTTGGATATGAGTGCAGAATTTGGTTCAATCATAGCATGACTGGCTTTAATCATCAACATGTTAGTTTAGCTATGAAATAGTAACATTTGCTTGTTACCTACCCACTAAAACCAAAGACGTATACAAATTCTTACACTGGAATAAGCAGAAATTAAAGTGGTCCAGACATGGCATGAAGAACGCTGTCACTAGGGCAGAGCTCCCAGCGCTCTGTGAGTAACTGCTGAACAACAGAAACCGCCCAGTTCCCTGAGGGCTCTGGCTACGGCAGCTGTTCCAAAACACAGCTGTCAAGGGTACCTAATTCTGCTTGAAGCAAATGGGACAGCATCCCAGCTCCAACAACCTGTGGGACTGCACTGTGTTTCCTTCTCAGTAACACAACTTTCCTCTGCTGAAGAGAACAGCAACACGTTTGAAAAGCAACCACAAGCCTGGGAATGCCAACTGAACCTTACTGTAAAACATGCATACGTTCAGCTGCCCCATATATACTATAAGCCAATTTTTAATCACAAGCACTGATACAATTACTAGTACTTCCTTAAGCACCAAGGATGTGCTGGTATAATGTCAGTTACGTGACATGTAATACATGGAAGTAAAGGACACATTTTCAAGCTTTTCCTCAAGTGTTCCTCTGCAACTTCGGATTAAGGGTTGTGTACTATAATTAACTTAGTGCTGGAAATTCACTCATTTTTGCATGCATACAAATAACATTTATATACACATATATAGATACATGCAAATACATCTTTTTCATAAGGGTAATGGATGTAGACACATACATTTGTGTACATATAGCACACCTACATGTACATCTAAAATTATATAAAGATACATGAGAGAGTAAGTCATATACACAAAAAATGTCCAACGTGTTACACATGAAAATATACATTATCGGTATGCATGTGTCTATGTGTGTATGAGGAAAAAGGTGAGGATTAATGAGGCAATACATACCCTGACAGGTATCGATCAGAACCTCTACCTGTCTGAAGATTCCTAGACGAAGCAACTTTTCACGAGCTTCATGCGATTTTCTCATCACCTACAGGATGAGATAAGTAGCTCAGTCTTTCAGGTTATCAAAAAAATAACTAGGATAAAACAGTTAAAATGCAGCTAAGTCATACAATATTCACAGATTTTGTATACAAAGACACATATATGCGCCTTCAAAACAGATCACAACCACTCTAACACTTGAATCTGTAAAAAAAGAAATTAAACTGAGAGCATCTGGCTCAATTCCTACCTGCTGTTAGTTTGCATCCTAACTGTTACAATACTTAAACCTATTATTCAAATAGGCTTCAGTACTTAAAACATATACCTATTTACTAGGCCCATGCTTTTTGCAAAAAACCCAAACACTGTTTAAATCTGTTTAAATTTAGACCAATTGACAGGTCTAATTGCCAGCTGTACTCCAGAAGGAATCACCACCTAAAAGTGCAAGGACATACAGTCTAACTCACATTTTGATCCATTGTGAAGAGCAGCATCAGTTATCTGTGCTGAGATCCAATAATTTCTCTTAAGCAAATTAACTGAAAGTGTCACCTACACAGTTAGCAATTCTCAAATGGGAAGAGTGAAGCTGAAAAAAAATATCCGAGAGTACTGTTTGCCATCTCACAATGTCTTTGAGCTGAATACATCAGAAAATATAGTATCTGTCAGTATTTCATATTTAAGTTTGGCTTCCATTATCACAAGATCAGAATCATCACAAAACTTGACAAAGTTGCCCCATGTCTGAAGGGAGTAGTCCAAAGCAGGAAAGAGAGAAAATCGTAACCTGAATTTTTAAACAGTAGGTCTGATATTCACTACAGTACTTACATCAATGAGATTTTTAGCCTTGAAAACATCAGAGATTTCATACATGATAATGTCATCTTTGGTCCTTCCAAGTCCATCGAAGTGCACATGCTGAACCACCACCTAAACAGAACAGATATTTAAACACAAGCACTGAATTTGCATCTAATACTGAGTATCAGAATCACCAACGCAGAAAAGTGTTGCTGCCCAAGTGAAAAACCCTGAAGATTCCTAGGCTAATTACTGCTAACCTACATTATCAGGAATCAATGCTATCTACAGTTCCAGAAAGTTGTTCCCTTAACACAAAAATTAAAGAAAAAAGAACTCTAATACCAAAGCTAAAACCGGTTGTAGCAGAAGAGACAGTAACAGACTATAGCTTCTGGGATTTTAGTCGTAAGTGTCGTATGGACAAGCAAGTCACTGCAGAAATCATACTGAGATATTAAGACATGTAAGACAAAACATGTAGTTAGTCGTAGTTAGCTACTTCTTGTATCACCTACACATAAGCAAAGAGTTAAAAGAAAAAACAAACCTACAAGCCATAAATATTTAAACTCTAACTAGTTACTACCACTGGAGCACTGCACTTTAAAATGCATGTAAAGATCACTAGCATTATGAGGTTTTATATTTTCTTAAAATCATTCATCTTGTTATATAATAATCTGAGATAATTTTATCTTAAAAATCACAACACGCTCTAGGTTAGCTGGTACAAATGGACTACAGTGATTGCATTTCCCTTATTTTTCCAACCTTTTCAGTGTATTATAATTTTAGGGGTGTCAAAAAATAATATCTGCAAATGCTTTATGTATTTGCATATAATAAAATAGCAGAGTAAGAGCAACCTAGCATTACTGCAAACTGCTTAAAAAACGCTATCAGAATATATACATAATGAACTAAATAAACACCAAATGTTATTACCAAGCTTCTGGTGAGGATGACTCTGACTAGCATAAGGGAAAGGAAAATTTTAACAAAAACTAAAATAATGCATAACATCCCACCCCTCAACATATTACGGGCCAAGACAGACACGTGAAATATTAAAAAAGTTACCATCTTCTGCTGAAGTTGGTATTTCCCTTAGTAACATAATTCACGTGGTGGCACTTTACCCTAACCTGGCTAATACCGCACTCTAGCAGATTAAGGACAGCTGCTTGGTTTGCTCCTAAGCAGTATTGCAGCAGCAGTAATCTCTTATGAGAGAGGCAACAGCAGCATCTGGAAACAGGTCTATTACCTCAAAGTTGAATTTTAATAACAACTCCTGTGGTAGGGAAAAAAAGAACAGGAACTAGACAACATCAGATTAAATTCACAGTACTAAATTTAATTCTTTCACATCTCAAACCACAGTTTAGGAAGTTCCCTTAGGAAAAACAAGTAAGCAAGGGTGCCAAGACATTTCTCTTAAGTAAAAAATCAGGATGTCATTCAGGTACTTACATCTTTGTTTTCAAGAATTTCCTGCTTGGCTTCAGGTTCAACTTCAACCAGTTCAGCTTCCTCTCCCAAGGCACCAAAGTCTGGCCCACCCATTGGAAGAGGCTCCAAACTCTGAAAGCATAAAACTGCATTTAATATGGTACATGGATTTGTGATTTACACTTTTTGCAAAGGAAAAAAACTACGGTTCTTGACACTGTGCTCATCAGATCCTAAGGGGAAAAAAAGCAAAAAAGAAGAACTAAAATGAGGGGAATTACCAGCACACTTGTTACCTACCTGCTTGCTGAAATTTTTAATGAAAGCTGAATAGCTTCCATGTTGAATGATTTCTCAAGGATACTCTACACTTTTCCAAAAAATTAACCTTATTTTAAGGCATGCTTCCCATGTTAAAGATGAATTCTATCTTCTTAAGAAAAAAAAAAACTAGAAAATCAGGGTGTCACTACTCAGTTTGGGTTTTTGGGAGGGAGAAGAGTGTGAAGGTTGAAAAACAAAAAAGGTGTTTTCAGCATGTTACTTTGCATATATTTATATGCTTTTATGTTTTAATATTTCTTTTAAAAGTATCCTTCCAAGCAATGCTTAAGAACCTCAGGCCCTATCCATCAGAGGTGAACATTTTAATCAACATGGTTTCCAGCAGAGCATGGCTTTATTTACTATACCTGAAAGAGTCCTAAAATAAGACATATCAGAAGATAACGGATTCAAACAACAGTGAATAGAGGGTTACCTGCAAAAGCAGACATCAGGATTAGGTAACTCAGTAAATCTACTTTTAGTCTTAAGTCACTAATATAGTACTTGCTGCATTATTTAAGGACTGCTGTTTTGCTGGAATAGTAAATTGCTATTATATATGAGAATGAAGTTAAATGAACACAGACTCCTCTCTCACTCCCAATAATTTTCAGGCAAATATGAAACATTCTGCATCCATACAGTATAGTATATCAGTTGATACTACAGATGGATATAAAAACCAAGAATATGAAGAAAAAAAATTGAAAATCAAATTAGTCATGGTAATTAGATACTTTGGAGCCTTAACAGCCCCCCTACAGCAATAAATTTGTCAGTCTAATTAAACACTATGTAAAAGTCTGCTGGCTTTCAGCAGGCTCACAGGAAAGAGGTATTCTACCTGGGATCTTCAGGAATCATCCAGACCATTCTTAGCCCCCAAACAGGTCACTCAACTCATTAATCATACCTGAGTTACCCACGTCAGTTTTAAACATGTGTACGAAGGGGTGTGTATCCCGAGAAACGCTTCCCTAGCGAAGCCTTGAGGTGTGAAGAATTCAATGCCTTCCTGAAGTATTTCAGAGCCTACATATCCTTATTCTTTAAAATTCTTTTCTGACGTTTAAGACACGCTTTTTCTGCTGCCATTATAACCACTGCTTGTCCTACGACAAGAAACCCTTAAACCTTTACCTTCCTTCTTTAAGCAATGGTGTACGGATTTGCAGGTTTTATGCTTCTGTTCACAAGGACTTCCAAGTGCTTCAGGCATGTGAGACACAACAGATCTCTTCAAGCAATACTGCTGTTTACTGAGGAAGTGCAAACCTACAACCTCCGCTTCTCACTGCGAGAGCAGCAGCTGTGGGGCAGTTTCTCTTTGCTTCGTGCTTCGGTTTGGGTTTTGGTTTGTTTTTTTGCTGTTTTCATTTACACAGTCTGGCTCTTGCCAGCCCCCCGCGGCAAGGTCAACCCCGACCGCTGCAAGCGAGGAAGGAAAGACCCGAGAAGGGAAGGTAAGGCGCCTCCGAGCACCGGGACGGCGGCAGCGGAGCCCGGCCGGGCCGGGGCCCTTTC